GACCCCCCCCCCCCCCCCAAAAAAAAATCAATCACCAAAAACAATAAACATATGTCATTAGCAATATGGTGTTGCCAACTAGGGGATTACTGTAAGGCAAAGCCTTGGAAGGGAGATGTTACAGAAGCTGCTCATGAAACACGGTACATTTAACGAGAAGCCTATTTCCTGAACCTCATCAAGACATCATTGTGGAAAATGAGGTAACCCAAAACATCATTGAACAGCTGGTGATTTGCTACTAATGACATAGTATTATAATCTCAGATAAGGTGGCCTCAAGCCATCCCAGAAGTACATTTGCTCAAGTATAACAATTGCAACATCTCTTACCTCTCCATTTTCCACAATAGCCATAGAGCTCATCTGTCCACAAGCAATGCCAATAACAACCTTATTCTGTAGGCAGCTAGTAACTCTTCTTGGAATAGGCTGATTGGCAGTAGAGCCAGAACCAACTTGTCCAGAATTATTGTATCCCCAAGCGTACACCTATGAAAAAACATGCATGTAGTTACCAACTACTATGGGCTTCTACACTGGAAGAAGGCAAACATAACTGAAAAAAGGGAAGGTTCCTCCATGCATTTATCACATATCAGGTTTACTGTGACATCACATGTAAATCACACCTAAAACTATAAATACAGAACCGAAGACAAAACCTTTTTTTTAGTTTTGGAAAGAGGAAAGCTGCCCATACATTGGTAGATTTTTGTACAAACGAACAATCATGAGAAAAATCACATCAGGACATTGGATAATGCCATTAAAGGCTTGAGAAATGTATTTTGAAATTGCGTTTGATTGTATCATTTAAACATGAGTTGATCCTTTTCATCGATGCGGTAGAAGTTGATGCGGTAGAAGTTGATGATCAATTTGACACTATTAAAATTATCGAATGACCATTCCGAAAACAACTTTTTACAAACAACATTCTACTGGTGTATGGTCAGCTTAAGCGAGGGCTATTACCCCGGTCAGCTTTTTGTGCCATCTGTGTCCCATTGGGGAGATTTCCCTTCACTTCCTATCCCTAAAAAATCAATCACCAAAAACAATAAACATATGTCATTAGCAATATGGTGTTGCCAACTAGGGGATTACTGTAAGGCAAAGCCTTGGAAGGGAGATGTTACAGAAGCTGCTCATGAAACACGGTACATTTAACGAGAAGCCTATTTCCTGAACCTCATCAAGACATCATTGTGGAAAATGAGGTAACCCAAAACATCATTGAACAGCTGGTGATTTGCTACTAATGACATAGTATTATAATCTCAGATAAGGTGGCCTCAAGCCATCCCAGAAGTACATTTGCTCAAGTATAACAATTGCAACATCTCTTACCTCTCCATTTTCCACAATAGCCATAGAGCTCATCTGTCCACAAGCAATGCCAATAACAACCTTATTCTGTAGGCAGCTAGTAACTCTTCTTGGAATAGGCTGATTGGCAGTAGAGCCAGAACCAACTTGTCCAGAATTATTGTATCCCCAAGCGTACACCTATGAAAAAACATGCATGTAGTTACCAACTACTATGGGCTTCTACACTGGAAGAAGGCAAACATAACTGAAAAAAGGGAAGGTTCCTCCATGCATTTATCACATATCAGGTTTACTGTGACATCACATGTAAATCACACCTAAAACTATAAATACAGAACCGAAGACAAAACCTTTTTTTTAGTTTTGGAAAGAGGAAAGCTGCCCATACATTGGTAGATTTTTGTACAAACGAACAATCATGAGAAAAATCACATCAGGACATTGGATAATGCCATTAAAGGCTTGAGAAATGTATTTTGAAATTGCGTTTGATTGTATCATTTAAACATGAGTTGATCCTTTTCATCGATGCGGTAGAAGTTGATGCGGTAGAAGTTGATGATCAATTTGACACTATTAAAATTATCGAATGACCATTCCGAAAACAACTTTTTACAAACAACATTCTACTGGTGTATGGTCAGCTTAAGCGAGGGCTATTACCCCGGTCAGCTTTTTGTGCCATCTGTGTCCCATTGGGGAGATTTCCCTTCACTTCCTATCCCACAACAGGAAGTGGAAGAAAATCCCTCCAAAGAGAGGGAAAAAATAAATAAAATAAAATAAAAAAAAAATCGCTGGTTTTCAGCAGGGTCACCAGAACTAGTGTGCCCATTGGAAGATTTGCCATTTTTTTCTGTTCTGATGACAACCCAAAATTTTGAATTTTCTTTCACTTCTAGTGATAACTGCCACCAGGACAAATAATGAGGGTGAATCGCTCTAACAGGGAGACAGACAGCAATAAAAACCTGATGTGTTCTAATTCCTCTCCACTCTATCCAGCACAAAAAAAAAAAATTGGGCTTCAGTTGCACTTTAATACAATTATATTTTGGTATTGGTTAGCTTAGGGCTCATGCACACAGGCACAAATACAAGCGTATTGGCATACAGAATAAAATACACCTGTATTGCGGCGCGCAGGAACCCCAGCTGCGGCATTTGTGCATAGAAAGTTATAAACAGGAGATGTAAATGCTGGTAACTGCAGCTTTCAATAAATTAATACCCTCTAACAGGAAATGTTCAGGCATTTCCTGTTAGAGGGTGATAACTGTCCAACCGCTGTTCTCCTGCACTGTAACCCTGTAACGTGGGTTTCCAATGGATTTCAACACACTTTATACAGGCATGGACCACTACCACCATCAAGAAATGTAAGCCATTTACTTTCTGGGGTGTATGAAGACAGAAAGTGGCTGCAGGACATCAGTAGCACTGAGGTGCAACAAAGGATGACAAAAAAGGTAAGAAGCAAGTATTTTATTTAACCCCTTCGTGACGGGAGACGTACACTGTACGTCCCACCATAAAGGGACCAAATGACTCGTCAAGTACACTGTACGTGACGAGTTATTTGCTGCACTAGAAGGCTGGTAACCGCTGAGAATCAGCGGTTATCATTCATTAATGGATGCCTCGGTATAGAGGCATCCATTAATGAAAGGGTTAACCTTTTCAGACACCCGATACCTGAAGATCGGGTGTCTAAGAGTCAAAGCAGAGCCGGCATGTTTGCCGGCTTTGCCGGCATTCGGACAGCTCGTATAGATCGAGAGATATCTCTCTCAAGCTATACTGGCTTTTTTTTTCTCTTTCACTTTCAGGAATAGACACATAATGTATCTATTCCTGAAAAGAAGAATGTTTCAGTTTTCTAATCGTTGTTGGAACAATCAGAAAACTAGTGACAGCTGAATCATGAACTGCTGCAGGATCAGTGTCACTAACTTATTATCCGCTGTTCTGAAGTTTGAAGCAGCCTGATAATAACCAAAAATGTATTTATCAAGCAGTAATAATGAGATTAATTCACAATGACTGCTTGATATAATTAAATAAAATAACATTTTTAAGTTTAAAAAAAATTGTAAAAAGTGTAAAAAAAATAAAAGGACAAATAAATGTATTTATTGCATTTTTTTTTTTTTTTTTAACTGTGCTGGTTTTGTAAAAAAATACTACAAATCAAAACTGGGAAAAAAGTTTTTTGTTTACGTTTTTTTCCTCTTTTTTATATTTTATTTGTCCTAAGTGAGGCGTTAGACACACATGTGATATAAATATGTAGCCCTATCTTTCCTCTAAAAAACAATATATGTGTGGGTGCGCTTTTTAAGAAAGTATATTACTGACGTGGAAAAATCACACAGCAAAAATGTCAAAAATGTGTCAGCCATTTACGAACAGAAACTAAAAACAAGCTCAGTCATGAAGGGGTTAAAAAATATCACTCGTTTTTGATACCCTGCTCTTCAATATAATTAGACTTTCATTATAAAGAAAAGTAAATTATATACAGTTAGGGTTTACAACTACTTTAACAAGAGTAAGAGTCCTGCAGGCAGAATTCTTACAGTGAACGGTGTATGTGAACCTTTATAAATACCGCAGTTCATAAAACACAAATACAAGCAGTCCCCGGGTTACATACAAGATAGGGATTGTAGGTTTCTACTTAAGTTGAATTGGTATGCAAGTCGGAACAGGTACATTTTTTAAGTGTAACTCCAGCCCAAAAAATCCAGCCATAATATAAAGTGTGTGATGAACGTAAAGCTTATTCGGTAAAGACTATAAAAGGAACAAAGCGGTAAGAGCAATAACCCATTGTAACCAACCAGAATCTATTTTCCTGAAGCCAGACCACTGAATGAAGATTGTAAATGGTCGCTCTAAGCAGTGCACTTTGTGATTTGCTCCTTACACTGTTTTACTGAGTAAGTCTGCAAGTGTTATGAAGCACTTGGTAAGAACTCCCTATAGACATTCATGTGTACAAGGCCTAAGACTTACGTCACTGATATTTGCTTACCTCTCCATCAGACGTAGTAACCATTGAATGGTGTGAGCCACAAGCCACACTTACAACTTTCTTATTTACTAAGTTATTTGAGACTTGGGATGGAGTTAACGCTTGATTTATGGATCCATTGCCCAGCTGGCTGTAGGCATTATGACCCCAGGTATATACTTCTCCATCTGCAGAAACAAAAGAGTAGAAGCTTATTATCTATCTTTACAAGGTGTAAGATTATTATAAAGTTTAGAACTAGTATTACCCCAGCCATATAAAACTTCAGTCCAAAACAATTCTAGTGAAGGTAAAATGACAATTCCACATCTGAGACCCCACTGAGCAATAACAGAGGGATCACAAACCAATTCTCCAGGAAATCCACTCTTACTGTACGTGATCATTTCCATAAAATAACTGAAACCCAGCTAGTCCAATCATAAGGGCTAAAATTCAGAATTAGAAAAAAGAAAAAGAAACAGGGATAAACAGATGCAGTCCTTGAGGACATAATACAAGCCAGGAACTTGAGACAGGCATAATTTTCTTAACTAATTCTCTGCTATCTGCTAGTTAAACAATTCATGATACTGTGCATTCATGCTCTAAGGCTGGGTTCACACCTAGGCATATTGAATATGCGCGATTCGCGGTAAAAAAAAACGCGCAACAAACGCCCGTTTCCGTGGGCTACTTGGCTGTATCCCGATGGAAACGCGAGACCAAAACGCCCCAAAGAAGTACATGTACTTCTTTGGGCGTAGGCCGTTTTGTATCGCGTTCCGACGGGCAGAAATACGGCAAGGTGTGAACCAGACCCATTGAATACAATGGGATTTAGATGTTTGAGCGTTTTGTAGAGCGTTCGTCGAGCGTTGAACGCGCTACAAAACGTTCAAGTGTGAACCAGGCCTAAAGCCTTGGTTCTCAACTGGTGGTTCCTGACCCCGTATTCAGTAGGTCTCTGCATGCCTTCCACTTGTTTCCTGCATGCTCCTCAGCCTCCCCCTAACGCAGCACTGTCAGTTCCTGCGCCAAGCAGCCATTCAGAATATGCTGCCAAGCGCCACGTGTCAGCTCGAGGCGAGATAGGATGGGGCTATGGCCACGAGGGAGCTCCATCCATACGTGCATTGCTTACACCTCCCTCATGCGTCCTGTAGAGGTGCCTGGACCAGAGTGACGTCACATTCTGGCTCCCGGCACCTCTACAGGGCGCGCAAGGGAGCTCTACAAGCAATGAACATATGGATGGAGCTCCGTCACAGCCCATACTGGACCCCAGGCTGAGGATCCACTCCAGTTCTTGTAAGGTAGGGAGGCTTGGTGGACCTTAAAAATTTGTGTGTGTATTAGAATATCTGGCAGTGTGTGAGATTGTGTATGTATGTCAGTGGTTTTGAGGGCCCGTTCACACTAGTACAGTGCATTAATCACACAGTCCTGCCCGATTAACGCACTGTACCACGCTTTCTGGTGTGAGATGTTGCATTGCCATTCATTTGAATGGTACCCCAAATGCACCTCCCACCCACAGTTTGATTGCCCACACTAGAACGAGCGGTACAGCAATGCCGTGAGTTCTATTGCAGTGCGACTTGGGTCGCAACTTAATGACCAAGGACCAATGTGGGTCCCGAGGTTACACAGGTTGAGAACAACTGCTCTAAATAGTTCATCTATATCTGGCAAAGTTCTTTCACTAGGAAAAGCCATTAAATAAATTGTACTATTTGTACACCACACATATGACAATGCTGTAACTTTTTATATTCTTTACCCATCTGAAGATAACTAGATATGTTCTTAGAGTTATAGAAAAGTCTTCCCAGTCAGCCAGAAGTAGACCTGTGCTTTGTCCATTCCAGGGCAAGGCAACACGTTTGGTTGACTGCCACCCTCCCCTTTGCTCCCACACTGCCCTGTTAGAATGGCAGGAGAGCAACACCTGGTACTACCAGGTATAAGTGAACATGTGACCCACCGCCTTTCCTCTAATGTGACAGTACAGGTGAATGGTAACTGGGCGCTTAGGTATCCGATGTTTATGGGGGCAGGAACATCAGACCTACCCTGCAACTTGGACTGTACAGCCTTCCTCCCTACTCACCAAGTTGCTGAACAGAGTGGTAGGTGAGTGAAAGGAAGATGAATATGTGCAGCTGGGGAAAGCGGCACTTAAGAGGACCTGTTGTCTTGCCCTACGTGGGCAAAACACAGATTCACTTTAACGCTTAACTGCAGGATTAAGAAAAATTAAAAACCCATTGTCGTGTCTCCCCAGAATCACTTCCTTCTCCTCCTGCCACTGCTCTCCTGGGTTGCATGACACACAGCATCATTATATGAGCCCAGGAAGTCATGGATACTCCCTCTGCAAGTGAATCATCACACTGGACCGCCTACCACCAGAGGGAAGAAGAGGAAGAGAAATGACCAGCTAAAAAAGGCAGCTGTTAAAAAAAAGGTATATATTATGACATTTTTTTTAAAACAGAAATCGGTTAGGCTAGAGTAGGGCTTTAAACCGATTGGGTAATCAGAAGGGCACACAGAGGAGGCTTTACTGAATAATAGTTTTATTTTGCTAGATTCTGCTGACCCTAACCTCTGGGCTAAGCCCTGCTCAACTATACTGTGTCTGTCTAATTAGTTCACTTCAGTGGCCCTTTAAGTGCACTTTTACTTATCAGGCAGATGTGTTGGTTCAGAAGCCATAGAACCCAAGTCCTAGTAGCACAGTGAAATACATTAGGGGCACACAGAGGAATGTAATAAAAGTAATATTGAGCACTTAGCGAAGATAGACAGGACAATTACTTTCAAAAGCTTACAATAGCTAACAGTTTCAAATCATCAGCACTCAGGCTTGTGAAACCAAAGCCAGTGTCCCCCTCTTATAGGTAGCTTTACAGAGGAAAAAAGCTAGCACGTAGGATTTGTAGCAGATGCAATACATCAGGTCAGCCAGTCCTTTAAACAAGTTTATTTTTGTTCTACGTACCAGAAGTAACAATGACTACATGTGGCCCACTTCCACAGCTGAGGCTGACTATCTTCTTTCCGGAGAGCATATGAAGACCTCTTGGTTCAATTGTACTCTGAGCATCTCCGGTCCCTAGACAGCCACTGCTGTTTGTCCCCATCACAAATACCTGCAAAACACACAACTGTAAATGTATTTCATACCAGCAAACATGAATCTGAGACAAATCCTGCCATAAATAACATTTCTTAATGAAAGGCATCCACAAGACACTCATTTTGTCCATCTCGGCGACTAACAAAAAAAAAAAACAAACACACTGGTCAGCAGGCTGTAAAAGAGAAATACAGCCTTCCAAAAAGGCTAGTTGCCTGGCTGTCATTGCTGGATTCAGTTCTTTTTGAGTCACTGACCAGGAACAAGAACAGAGATAAGGAAATACATTTCTCGGACTTGCAATAATTGCATTCTTATCCTTGGGTCAATAACTTAAACTAATGAGGTCAGAGAAGGCCAGCAAACTAGCATTTTTAGGAGGCAGCAAGCAATGCCAAATGGCATATTTCTCACATGTGAAGTGCACTTTATCTGCAACATTCACATTTTCCAAATATATAAAAAAACTAAGGTTGTACTATAAAGAAACTATAGCAGTTTTGGGTAAACTTTATTTAATTTCTTTCAAAGTTAACAAGGTTTTAGCCTGAAGATTTATACTATTTTTTTATTATTTATATGAAGTATTTAAATTACAAATAAATATTTTATACCGGGTGCGCCCATAGCAGGTGCAGAACAAGATTCGTTTATCTCAACAATGCAGAAAGGAATCGGATCAGTTTTGTTCCAGTTAGTCCCAAATCAGCTTTGAATAAATAAAAAGAATGTATGGCAAGTACACAAATCATTATTTCACTATATTTTTTGGCACTATTCAACATTTTATTTATTATGCTTATCCGTTAAAGGTCTCCCTTAGGGCTCGTTTCCACCAGCCGGTGCGCTCAGGACTGTGCAATGTGCGCACGGGCTGGTGGAAACAAGCCCTTAGGGTGGCCATAGATGGGGACGTAGCTGAGAAATGTAAAAGCCACAGGTCACCAATCAATGAGAGACACAGGTTTTAAACATGTACATACAGTTACCTCATCATTTTTGGTGATATATAAGACCTCATTTCCAGAACCAAACACACAAGCCTGTTGGATGGATTTCAGATCCTCTTGAGGGCAAAGTGCAAAAATTGGCCATTTTCCCACATCTACCATTGTCAGTATGGATGGAATCTAGAACTTTTCTGAATAGACAAGAATGAGGTTACAAACAGGATAACATTCAATCTCAGTGCTTATATTCTCAATCCAGTCCTCCATTTAATTGACTTAAAATGTATATCCACTCATTACTTACCGCAACCATTGGGAGATTTCACCATTCAGAGAAACCAGACAGTGCATCTCTCCTTGGTTGCTATCATTTACCACATTGGGCAAATTGCAAATTCATCTACACATTATCAAATAAGCTCAGTCGTTTACAAATGCAACCAACCAAGTAGAGGATTACTATACGTAAAGTGCATTATTCTTCATCTTGAAGACTCAGGGGGGAATTTATCAAGACTGGAGCAGAAGGAATCTGGAGCAGTTGCCCATGGCAACCAATCAGCATCTCTCTTTAATTTGTTCAGTTAGGATTTGAAAATGAAAGAGAAGCTGATTGGTTGTTGTGCACAGCTGCTCCAGATTCTGTTTGCTCTAGTCTTGATAAATCCCCCTCAGTGTGTTTTTGGAATTATAAAAAGGTAAAGAGGAACTGAACTGTTAAAGCTGTGCCCAAAAAGGCAGGCGGGGCAAGGTCTAGTCTTTTCATAATCGATTAATTGGCCAATTATTTTTTTCGATTAATCGAATTAAAAGAAAAATTAAATAAATGCCACCCTTAAATTTAAAATAAAATACAAACTTAGTGTTACAAACATATTTTACTTCAGAATAAAACTGCATGCACAATTTTTTGCAATCCCATGCATTCCAGTGTGGGCAATCACACTGTGGGTGGGAGGCGCGTTTGAGGTGCCATTGAAATAAATGGCACTGCAACGCACCTCCTGCACCAAGATAGTATAACATTACAAGAGGACCTGGATAGACTAGTGGAGTGGGCAACTTTATGGCAGATGAGGTTTAATGTTGATAAATGCAAAGTTATGCACTTTGGGATAAAAAAACAAGCAAATGGGTTATACAATAATGGGTATGCCGCTAGGGAAGTCTGAATTGGAGAAAGATTTAAGGGTCATTGTAGACCATAAACTCAATAATAGATTACAATGCCAGGTTTCGGTAAGCAAAGCTAGTAGAGTCCTGTCCTGCATCAAGAAGGGAATGTTTTGCAGGGATAAGTCTATAATTTTGCCACTTTACACATCACTGGTTCGGCCTCACCTGGAGTATGCGGTGCAGTTTTGGGCACCGGTACACAGAAAGGATGTCCTTGAACTGGAGAAAGTCCAGCGAAGGGCGACCAAACTCATCAAAGGGATGGAGGACCAGAGCTATGAGACACGGTTACTAAATTTAAATATGTTCCCGCTGGAACTAAGGAGATTAAGGGGGGACATGATTTTCATGTACAAAATGTTCTATAGTCATAGCGACATTAGCAACAAACTCTTTACGACTAATTACATAACAAAGACTAGAGGACACCACCTAAAACTGGTAGAAAAAAAATTCAAACACAAGGGGCGGAGGGGGTTCTTCTCAGTTCGCGCGGTTAGGGTCTGGAACTCGCTGCCTCAAGCAGTAATTTCAGCTAATAGTGTGGAATCATTCAAGAAGCTTTTGGACGATTTCCTGAGAAACGGTAATATACAGGGGTACAAGTACTCCTAATAACGAGATGACTCAGGGATCTATACACACACACACACAATAGGTTGGACTTGATGGACATGTGTCTTTATTCAACCTCAAATACTATGTAACTATGTAACCAAAAATGACTTTTTTTTCCAAATGTTATTTTTTTTTTTTAAATAATTGTATTGTAAACATATGGCACTTGAATAGCTTCAGTCAGGGAATGACAGCTGCCAGTGGCAATATTCCGCAGACGGCAGCTAAAAGTAAATACAGCAAGTAGTGGGCGGGTGCAATAGCCAGTCTGCTATTGGCCATTTCAAATTGCAATAAGCCAAAAGTAGGATGGTTGCTTGCAGTGCCCTCTACCCAGCATGGAGGAGAGAGTAGGGAATCCAAACAACTAGCCGATAATGAGAATAGTTGACAACTATTCTCATTATTGATTAGTTGGTTGCAGCCCCACTAGTCACCAGTACTGCCTGTGCGCTCACCACAGCTGATCGTTTCCCTAGGACTAACTGACCTTGTATTGTTCTGCGCCTCCGCTGCAACTCTGAGTATTGGTGATTTGATAACTGGTGGATGAATATTCAACAAGCAGCAGGAGAGATGGTGCAAGGATCTACACAATAAATGAAGCAGAAACAGGCAGATGCTTGAACTGCAGGTTCTCAAATACAGCTTCCTTTCCAGCAAAGAGAACATTGAACAGCACAGGAGTAAAATTACAAAATATCGCTCCAAGTCTTGTGAGATTAGGGGGTTCATTTATAAAAGTTCCTACACTCGCCAGTGCCATGCGAGCGGCACCCGCCTGGAACATTTATAAATAAATCTCTATCTGATCAGCTCCCGTGCTTCTGACAGATAGAGATTTATTTGTAAAAGTTCCGGGCGGGTGCCGCTCGCATGGCACTGGCGAGTGTAGGAACTTTTATAAATGAACCCCCTAATCTCACAAGACTTGGAGCGATATTTTGTAATTTTACTCCTGTGCGGTTCAATTACCCTACTGATACAGTATACACCTATAAGGCTCAAGACACAGGGGTGCTTAGGCCCAGGAAGTACGCTGCTATTTTACATGAGCAAATCAAGACAAAAAGGTAGATTTTTTTTTAGGGAAAGCAAATCTTTATTCCTTTGAATTCAGGTCCACTTTTAGTTTATTTTTCTATCCCTTTTAGTGGTAATTAAAAACATTTCCAACATACAATTCTTTATGCAAGACTCTCATGGCAGCCTCGTCTTTATATACGGTCTCATCTACCAGCAGGGACAGGAAGTTTAAATGTAACTGAATTTTTAAGTCTATGTATACTGTATGTAGCCTATATTGAAAAAAGTTGTGATTATCTTTTATCTATCTTTTCTTTATGTGTTCTCTAGGTTGTATCCCAATGTATTACACACTGTGTTCAGTAGCGGTTTTGTACAAGCAGTCAGTAAAATTGGTGTATTAGTAATTGGAACAAATCGTTGGTGCCTGTTTAGAGTGAAAACCTGTCACTATACCACCAAATTGGTGTTTCCACGGTTAAGAAGATTAGGAAGAATAGTGGGCAAAAACCAGAATTGAAGGACCTGAACCATTGAACATTAAGGGTCTGTTCACACCAATGTGTTGCGCTATCGCACATGCTTCCTTGCGATAAGTGTATACGTTTCAGCAGCAAAGTGCACTAGATGCGCTGCGTTATCATTCAAAATCAATAGCACCCCAGCACACCTGCCTAGGGGCATGCATTTTTGGCCAGCACAATGCTCAGCAGCACATTAACATGCCCTGTGTCCCTAGGCAGATGTGTTAAAATGCTAAAATTCAGTGTTGGGTTTCGGACAGTAATTACCAATTTAAAGATGAAGTGTTGCCATACTTTGTACAGGCAGGTTACGAACAAGATGGGGAATGTAGGTTCGTTCTGAAGTTGAATTTGTATGCAAGTTGGAACAGGTACATTTTTAGGTGTAACTACAGCCAAAAAAAACATTTTTTCGTTTTGGATAGCATAGGGAAGGGTCACGTTTGTTTCGCTGTCTGTGCCCTTGTTCAGAACTAGCACTTGTTTTCGGCATTGTTACAGTCAAACAAGTTGACAAGGAAAACAAATAAAAGTGTTTAGCACACTGTACAGTACATACAGGGTTGTGACAGGGGTAATGACAGTCAGAGCCAACTTCCTGTTCAGTACCAGACCCGGAAGAAGAGGCGGGGCACTAACTAACAACTTCCTGCAGGAGGTACAGTACTGTACAGTAATACAATCCAGACCCACTACTCGTCTGCCATCGTCGGCACGAGCACCGTTACTAGTGGAACGGACCTCAGTTCGTAAGCACGGGTTGTACGTAAGTCGAGCGTTCATAAGTCGGGGACTGCCTGTATATGCAGTCATAACCGTGGACACTCTTACTCTTGAAAGAAATTGCCTGTTATGGTCACAGATGCTCCAGTTCTGTCAGGCATCAATGACTTGTCCTCTTTGGACTCCTGACGAGTTGCCATTTTACCGACTGTACTAACCGCTGCAGAACACAATGTTAAATACACCAGCATGCAACCTAGAGAGCATAGACAAACAAGGTAAAAGTGAATTCCAACTTTTTTCTTTTTCTTTATTTGTAGCCTACACAAATAAAATTAGGCCTATAATAATGGTGTCCACCCCGTACATGACACCAGGGAACACAGATTGGCTGTATGACACTGAGCATTACACAATACAGTCAGAAGTGTGCAGAAACTCATTAGGTCAATGAACACTTCAAATTGTCACAGCGGGGAGAAGAAGCAGAAGAACTAGAAGTAGAGACAGGATCCCCCATAAAGAGTTCCTCTTTAAGAGTGATGCACATAATTAAACATATAGAACTCATTACAACCCCAAACTTATCTCTAACGTATGCAAAGGACAGGGATGAGCAACCTATACCCCTCAATTTAAAAACTACAGTTCCCAGCATGCCTTGCCATACTCTGACACTCCCACTGCAAATTCATAAGTGTTATATGTTCTAAAGATTTAGAAATACTATTAATAACATTTCTGAAACTCAGTGACTTCCTGCCTTCTCTGGGGATCAACTTCCTCAGGAAGAGAAGTGGGATAGAGGCAGACAAGCCAAACCTATCCTCCTGAGGCTAAATATATCAATCCTAGCCACTTTTATGGAGGAGGAAAAGTTACTGTAATGTCACTTTTTCGTACCCTGGAGAAAAACACAACCTAGAGGAAGTGTGGAGTTATAGGAGTTCTATGACATAGTAGGAACACTCTCTCTATGCATCACACCTGTGTCATGTGCCATTTCAGTGCTGCTCACCCTACCCATCATGTGTTACATTTTGTTTTGGCTGCTTCTAATTACCCTCCTCTCTCCTATGTGACTGTGTCTCTGCAGCCACTCATTGTTACCCCCTTTTCCTCTGCAACAATGCTCCCCTTCTGTTTCTGTATGTTGCTAGCAGATCATGGCTGTGTTCTCCTATTGACATTAAAGCAGAACTCCAGGAATGTGTTTTTTTAGTGCACCAATTTTGTGAATGGTATTCTGTAAATAGTTCTGAGAATTGTGAATGGGCAAGGGAAGAGGAGAGGACAAACAACACTATACTGTATAGTGAAAACTATACTTCCTAGCATAAATAACCTTATAGTACAATGTTTCCTACAGCTAACCTCCAGGTATGAATTAGTTTGCATACTTACATTAGTCCAGCTGGGCCCATTGTAAGTATGCATATGCCATACCTGATCGGCAGCAAGGGATCCTATAAAGCACTATAGTAGCTGGAGATACTACAATACTGGCTGCCATCTTCCAGGTCCTGTAGGGTGCTGAGTGGCTTTCCCTCTGCTCTGAAAACAAAGAGAGAGTCACTTGCTCAGCACAGCCACCATTGAGAGAATGCCTAGTATTTATGTCATTGAATACAAGGCGTTTTCTGATTAGACAAGTGGTGGGGACATCATGATCTGCCCCTGATCCAATCAGAGATCGCCTTGTATTCATTGCTAAAAATGCTAGATATCGTCTGAATGGCTGCTGTGTTGAGCGAGGAACACCCTGAGGGGAATTGATCAAAACTGGAGCAGACAGACTCTGGGGCAGTTGCGCATGGCAATCAGTCAGCATCAAACCTTAAAGTGACATTAACCCCTTAGTGACGGGAGACGTACACTGTACGTCCCGCCACAAAGGGACCAGTGTACGTGACGAGTTATTTGCTGCATTAGAGGGCTGGTAACCACTGAGAATCAGCGGTTACCACTCATACAGGCCTTGTTCACACCAAATGCAGACCAGATCCGGTCAGGTTTCTGCACACGCAGTTTAGTGGGTTGTGCCGCGCTTTAGACGCGTTTAGGGCCGGTTTTGGTAAAAAAAATTAAAAATTTAAGTTTAACATGGCCTTTCAGGCACTTGCATGCGTTTTTGCATTTTGGATGCGTTTTTGATGCGTTCCAGACCAGATCCAGAGCAGGTAAAATAGGGCTTGCCGCATTTTTTTCATCCGGTCTGGATCCGCACGCTGCGATGTGAACTGGAGGTCAAAATAGGAATACATTGGACGCAGTTTTGATCCGGTCTGCACCTGCTCTGGTCCGGATCTGCTCCGCGCTTGGTGTGCCTCAGTATAGAGGCATTCATTAATGAAAGGGTTAACCTTTTTCAGACACCTGATACCTGGCATTCTGACAGCTCGTATCTCTCTCGGATTGTATACTGGCTTTTTTTTTCTATTACTTTCAGGGATACATAATGTATCTATTCCTGAAGGAAGAATGTTTCAGTTTTCTGATCATTGTTGGAACGTTCAGAAAACCTTAGTGACAGCTGAATCCTGAACTGCTGCAGGATCAGTGTCACTAACTTATTATTGGCTATTCTGAAGTTTGAAACAGCCTGATAATAACCAAAAATGTATTAATTTATTAAGCAGTAATAGTTAGATTAATTCACAATGACTGCTTGATATAATGAAATAAATAAAAATGTTAAAAGTTTTAAAAAAATAGTGAAAAGTGTAAAAAAAAAA